GAAATGCTACACCAAATATCAAATCCACAGGACTGTTTATGTTACTTTTTGTGCTTCTGAATAAAAGTGGGTTAGCCCCTGTGATATTGATGCTCACTCTTTACCATTTTGCAGACACTGCACATGAATGTCCTTTTTCCCTGCAGTGCCTATGCCATTAAAGGGTCACAGCAGCAGTTCTGAGGTATGTTATAATCCATGAAAACTTTTGGACAGCACTGTGACAAAGTCTGGGCCAGCTTGTCTTTGAGACATTTTCCTCCTCTTTTTGCTGCACTGAGATTTTAAACATATTTTGTGTTGCCTTTTTTGGGGGTACAATACTTACAGCTGGAACACTTGGATCTTGCAAACCAGCTTTTGATGGAAGAGGCAGCACCATGCAGGAAGAAATACATTCTTCTGAATTCAGGGAGAAGTTGCAGCATTATGCTGTGACAGTGGTGGTACTCTGTCGAGATGATGCTTCTGTCTTGCATTTTTATTGGACCTCATCCTGGTACTTTGCTAAAGAATTCATTTTGTTCTTGATAAAGCAAGGGAATCAGGGGCTCTTAGGAATGAGATGAGAGCTTTGTGATTGCAGACAAGCTAGGCACAATCCATTTCCTTCAGTGATTAATTTAAAGGAAGCTACTACCATTGAATGGGAATATGTGTAAATGCCTTCCTGGCTGCCAGATCATTGCCCAGACAGCTAACCACTAGGGACTCATATAAATCAGCTAATGAACAGTCTTGGTGGGGAATATGCCTTAATCTTGAGGCTTTCCCCAAATCGGTTTTGATAGACCATCACCTCTGTGTTCCATCTCAGTTTGCATGCTTCTCATTCCATGTTTTTCCAAGATTTTGCAGGTTTGCACTTGCTAATTCAGTCAAGTGGACAGGGGATGCCTGAAGTTGCCTTCTATTCCTTACAATCAAGCAGCCGAGCCTTTTATCCTGCCTCATTTAGTATTCAGCCTTAGAACTATTTAGCCTTGGCATGTTCTTATATCCGTATAGATTCTTGAGTTAGGCACTAAGAGATTTTTTTTTCTTTTTGGTTGGGTATCTATCACTTTTATGGATTTTAGCTCTGTGATCAGCCCAGAGTTTGTTTGGCTTCCAGAGGCAGAAATCTACATTCCCTTCTTCTGGACCATCCTATTCTTTGTTTGCTTAGAGAAATCCAAGTTTCCATGGATATTGATGGAGAGAGAGCTTTAATTCCTTAGTAAGCCCTGATCCTGTACATGATGAATTTCCTATGAATTTCCCTATGATGCTCCATTAGGGTTTGCATCCTCTGTATGAATGATTCAGCAGGGTGGTCAAGCAGAGAACATACTGTAATTTGTTTAGGTAAGCTGCTGGAAAAGTTCATAATTCAAGGACAACTATTTTAGCCACATGTCTAAATTGGGTGAGCAATTTAGCTTTTTTCCTTCCTCTCCTCCTCCCCAAATATCTTTGCCTATCACGACATCTGTTATTTTCTTTTTTTCCCCATTTAATTACTCTTACAAGGTAGGTACAGCATTACAATTTTCAAGGAGAAAAGAAAAAGTATAATACTAATACAAATTGAAAAGGATATAGAAATATAATAGAGATTATTATAATAAGTGATAAGAATTAAGAAAAAAAACCAAATGAATTTATAAATTAGCAGTGGATAGCCAACAAATCTTGGATAACCAAACGAATCTAAAATATCATATGAGCAATATACTGTATTCTAATATATTAAAACATCAGAATCACGCAAGCCATGGTATTCCCTGTGATACTCTTTGGAAGTGAAAGTTGGGCTCTGAAGAAGCCAGATAGAAGAGTATTGACACTTTTGAACTTTGGTGTTGGAGAAGGCTCCTGACAATACTGTGGACAGCCAAGAAGACAAACCAAGACAAATCAGCTCAGAGCTCTTACTTGAGGCACAAATGACCAGGCTCAAATTATCCTACTTGGGATACATTATGTGAAGATCCAAATCTCTGGAAAAGGCTCTGATGCTGGGAAAGGTGGAAGGAAAGAGAAGAAGAGGATGACCAGCAGCAAGGGGGATGGACTCAGTTACTGTGGTGTCGGGTGCACCATTGGAAAACCCGAAGGACCAGGTTAGGGACAGATCATCATGGAGAAATTCTATCTATGTGGTTGTTAGGAGTTGAAAACAACTTGATAACACATAATCAGTATATATACTGTGAATATAAGATGGTGCTGAGGTTGGGTGTGTTTGCAGAGGGGGTGCCAATGATAATTGGATTTTAGTATGTTGCAGCAAATTGGTAGTGTGGAGATTTAGACTGAGAGGAGGTGGTGGAGTGTCTGTGGATTTGGGTTTTCCCTCTACTGGACCTGGTTGATGCTGCTTCTTGCTGAGCCCATGTGGTTTGTATCCCTTGTCAGGCTGAGTAGCGGCTTGGGACAGAACTGCACTTGGGGCCTGGAAGTTACCCTTCTGTTTGGATTGTTGGTGGCTGGATTGTTGATGGGACCATTGTTTCCCTGGGACAGCAGCCAGATGACTGGATTGTGGAGCAGCTGTGGCATGCTGATCAGCTGTTGTGTGTGGAACAGCGTTCAGCTGTGTGGCCATGGAGAGGGTCACAGCAGTGGCGATGGAAGAGACCTTTAGCTGGCTGGTGCAGAGGTGGTGAGCTCCAGAGTGGCAGAGATGAAGGGGGCAGAGGAGATTTGGGAGCTAACATTGAGGGGCATTTAGGGGGTAGGGAGTGGGCAGCAGCGGATGCAAGTATGGGCTGAGGTGTCACTTTCAGCTTGCGTCTTGCAGCTGCAGCTCTCCTTCCCCCATTTCTCTGGGTAGCCATTTTGCCTTCTTCCCAAGCTGGAGAACAGAAGGACTCTGCAAATTCACAGACTCCACTGACAGAGGGACTAGGGTTTGTGGTGGGAGAGGATGTTTCTCCCCTCGAATTGGGGTTTGTTTTGCTTCCTAGGGGTGTGAGCTGGGGGGAGGGGGACTGATTCACTCTCAGGATTGTATAGTGTTGGATGTATGGGCTCTCTGCTAGTCTAGTGAGGGTGGACTGGGGGGGGGCAGGAAATGAGAGTATAGGGTTGAGTAAGCCCATATATCTAGAGGTGCTGAGCGCTATGCAGATGCACCCTGGGTTGATGGACCTGGAGGAGGTTGTGGCTGGATCAGTATGTGCATGGTGCGGGGGCTATAGGCTTGGGCATGGATCTTTATGAACAGGGATGGGGGCAGGCTATAACATCCCCACTACTGGGATGAGGGGTTATGACAGGAGACGGGGGGTGGGCCACTCCCAGGGACCGTGCCACAGGTATATTTTTCCTTTAACAATATACCCGTGGCCCATTCCAGCCCTCACGGTCAGTCCCGGGCCTCAGATGGCAGACCTTCAAGGACCTGGGTTGTTGGCTGCTGCTGCTGAATGCCAGATCAGCTTGCAATAAGGCCACCCTCACTGATGACTTGATTGTCGATGAGAAGGCTGACCTGACATGTATTAACGAGACCTGGCTGGGACAGGAAGGAGGGGTTTCTCTCTCTGAGGTGTGCCCAGCTGGATTCCTGGTGTGGCACCAGCCAGGATCCAGGGTAAGGGTAGTGGGGTGGTGGTGGTTATCCAAGATACTTGGGAGGCATTCAGGGTCGCTGCTCCTCAGATTGCCAGGTGGGAGACCCTATTTGTTAAGTTTGGCTCTAAGAGGGATCAGCTGGGACTCTTGCTATTGTACCAGCCTCCCTGCTGCATAGCAACCTCCCTGTCTGAGCTTCTTGACTCTGGCTGGATTGGCAGCTGAGTTTCCCAGCCTTATGGTCTTGGGGGACTTTAACATGCCTTCCCTGAGGATGCAGTCTGAGGTAGCTTGGGAGTTCATGGCCACCATGACAGCCGTGAGCCTGTCCCAAGTCATCCAGGGCCCGACGCATAATAGTGGTCATACGCCTGACCTAGTTTTTCTGTCAGAGCAGTGGCACAGTGTTCTGGATTTGGGGAAGATAATAGTTTCTCCCCTGTCATGGTCAGATCACTCTCTGGTGAGCCTCCAGTTCTCTGGTGCCACCCCATTCCTCAGGGACGTTGGCCCTATTAGATCAGCCTGCCTCAGACAACTGATGGACCCAATTAATTTAAGGATAAACTCTAAAACCCAAATTTCTGATGTGGCACAATTACATATTTAGAATTATGGTCTAAAATGGTTTCCAAATAAGCTTGAATTGTATATAAGATTTATTTTTTTAATATGCAGTTATTCTAGATATCAAAGCATAATCTTAATTTAGTCAACCATTCTTCTATAGAGGGGATCAAAGATCTTTTCAATTAGAAAGCAAATCGAATCCTTGCAACTGTTAACACAATGCCAATTCAGTATATTTTGAAAAATATAAGGTCTAGTAAAATTTAATAAAAAATATCTTGGCATGGAATGAAGTTAAAATTTTCAAATTGTGTTGCATTCTACAATGAATTATTTTCCAGTATTGTGGGCTTTGCAGCATTGTTACCACATATAAAAGAAGGATCTGATCTGTTCACTGAATTTCCAGCATTTTGGGGAAAAGGGGTTACTTATTTTGGCAATCATAATGTACCAACAGTAAAACATCTTATACCAATTATCTCTGCATAATGTTCCGAGTAAATTTTCTTCAGGGTAGCCTGATTTTAGAAGAACCCTTTTTAAAAGACTTTGTATTAAAAATTGTTATTATTAGTTCAATTAGTTGCTCATTTACCATTTGACTTCAGCATTGTTCTGGTTCCCCCATCCTCAAATAATGATTAAATATCTGTTTTCTTTATTTTTACAACAAATATTAAGAAGCCAACCAACTTTACATCCATTATCCAGTGCTTCTTCTTGAATAACCTGGTATTCAGTAGTACCTAAGTGGCTTGAGTTTTTAATCCCATGGTGAATTCATAACCAAGAGCCATGGAGGGTGACTTTGGTTCATTGTGCTTCTCCAGCTATTCATAACCAATCCAGTGATGAAGTTCCATCTGCTTCTTTTCTGTCTAGGGACTTGCAAGACCACATGCAATCCTTCTGAGGAAGCCTTCCCAGGAAAAGCTGCTCGTAGTACCCCACATACATGAGGTGAGGAAGGCTGAGACCAGAAAGGGTTGCTTCTCTGTCATGGGTTGCTTCTCTGTCATGGTACCTACATTATGGAACAACCTCCCTCTAGAAGTTAGACTGGCCCCTCTGTGATTCCTTTTGGAACAGCAGGCTCATCCAGAGGGCCTACAAGGAATAACTGTTCATCATCTTTATTCAGATGTTATTTATTTATTGTTAGCTACAATAAATATTCTTTGTTAGTGGTTGGTATTGTGTTACCCTTATATAACATGTAAAGTTTTATTTTATTCTAGTATATTGTAAGCCTCCATTCAATGAAGACAATTTATACCAGCAGGAAGGAAGGAAGGAAGGAAGGAAGGAAGGAAGGAAGGAAGGAAGGAAGGAAGGAAGATAGATCTAAGGTGCATTCTATAATCCTGAGGAAAAGTTCTTAGGGACTGAAGACAATTTATACCAGCAGGAAGGAAGGAAGGACGGAAGGAAGGAAGGAAGGAAGGAAGGAAGGAAGATAGATCTAAGGTGCATTCTATAATCCTGAGGAAAAGTTCTTAGGGACTGAAGACAATTTATACCAGCAGGAAGGAAGGAAGGAAGGAAGGAAGGAAGGAAGGAAGGAAGGAAGGAAGGAAGATAGATCTAAGGTGCATTCTATAATCCTGAGGAAAAGTTCTTAGGGACCATGGTAGTATTTAGTTTCCTTCTCCAAGCAAACGTCTGGTTTAGAAGGGATCTTATAGATCATTCTGTCCAACCCATGCTCAATGAAAGAATGAAAGAATCCAGTCTAAGCCCATGTTTCCCCAAGTTAGCTGGAGAATTCTGGGAGTTGAAGGTCCATACATCTTAAAGTTGCTGAGGTTGAGAAACACTGCACCAAGCCATTCCCAGCAGTGACTGTCCAGCCCCCATGTCAACTCCCCAGTGATGGGGAGTCTACTATTGTCATATGGAGATTATTCCATTACTTATTAGCTCTTAACTCTTGCTGTCAAGAAATTCTTCTTAATATTCATCCTGAATCTCCTTACATTTTAACCCATTGGTCCTTATACTACTTTTAGTTTCAGCACAGAACAGATCTGACTCTTCTTGCTCATGGAAGCCTTTCTGATATTTGCAGACTGCTGTCATAGCTCCCTCTTCTCTTCTCTTTTGCAAACTAAACATGCCCACTTCCTGTAGCCATTCCTAATGAAGTCTGATTTTCAGATCCTCATCTTCAGGTTAGTTCTAGCTCTGAACCTAGCTCAGAGCTGCAAAGATAAGTTTCCTCAGTCCTGTCTTTGTGAGAGGGTGGCTTCAGTGGTGAAAATGGTCATGCCACTTCCTCTCATTTGATTTATCTTAATGGCTTAACACCCCTCCCCAACCCCTTGCCATTACTGGTGAGCAGACCTTTTTAACCAGGGTTCAGGTGGGGAACAGAGGAGGTGTGAAAGAGGCTTGACTGGATGATAGCAGAAGAGAGAAACAGAGAAAAGGAGCTAAAATGCCAAAACGAAGATGGAAGAAAAAAAGCCAGAAAGAAGAAAAGGCATGAGAGGGAAGGAAAAAATGCTGATGAATGGAGAAGAAAAGTTAAGAAGAAGGCATGTGGTGAACTCCAGGCAACTGGGGGCATAGGAGACAGTCAGCATCAGCATTCAGAGAGCTCTTCTCCACCTCAGGAGCAACCTCAAGCCAGGAAAAAAAGCAACAAAAGTCAGGGGACATCAGCTGCACACAGTAATAGTCATCCCACATGAGTGTCATGTGGGAGGATGAAAACAAGTGAAAGCAGCTCTGAAGAAAGGCTTTGGCAGCATGCTGGCACAGGGGAAAAGGACAAGGGTTGCCCCATCATGCCAAGGCTAGGCGTGGCAGATGGGACAGACTGGAGTGATGGGCAAGTGGCCCAGCTGGTCAGAAGAAGCCAAGCCAGACCAAGGCTTAGCTGGGAGGCCAGGAAGGTCAGCCTCAGTAGTGACCACATCAGGGTGCTGACAGTGGGTGTGGGCTACAGGGCAACCTGCAGGAAGGATGTCAGGGTGGTCAAAAGGGAGTTGGCAGGGAAGGGTGCTAGTGAAGGGAAAGGGCTCAGGTGAGAGATGCAGGTAACTGAGACTGGGCCAGGTTAGATAATGGTAAAATAGACCTAACCAGCAGAGTAGAATGTTAGATAGAGATTATAGGTTAAAATTTGAAAATATTAGAGAGCTATAGATAGCAAGTAAGTGGCTAGAGCTAGCAGGGAAGGGTGCTAGTGAAGGGAAAGGGCTCAGGTGAGAGATGCAGGTAACTGAGACTGGGCCAGGTTAGATAATGGTAAAATAGACCTAACCAGCAGAGTAGAATGTTAGATAGAGATTATAGGTTAAAATTTGAAAATATTAGAGAGCTATAGATAGCAAGTAAGTGGCTAGAGCTATAGATAGAAGGTAAGTACTGTAGGTATGTGTAGTTACAGTATAAGGCTGTAGGATAAGAGAAAGAAGCATGAAAGCAGTATAGTAAAGTAGAATAGAAATAGAAGCTAGAATAAAGTTGGAAAAAAGGAAATATGAAGCCTATAGAAATAGCAGAGACAAGAGGCTTATTTAAATAGAAAGCGATGGGTAGCTTCTCTTTTGTAATAAAAACATTTTATAATAAAAATATTTTTCAAAGGAAATTGATGTGCGTGTCCTACCTGGGACTGTACCATCCCCAAATCTATAACCTACTTAAGCATTTGATTTTTCTTATCTGGGGGAAGTAGGATTTGTCACAGTTGAACATGATGTGGTTGGATTCAGCCCAATACTCAGATATGTCAAGTTTGTTTTTTACTGTGATTTTATTCCCTTGGAAATTAGTCAATCATCATAGCATTGCCTCTTCTGCAAATCTAACAAGTGTCTCTTCCATTCCATCTTTATAAATGATCTAAAGATGTTCACTGGCACTGGACGTGTGTGTGTTTGTCTAGGGGAATAGTTATTGCTTCCTTCCAGGATGAGGAAGAACCACCTTGGATACCCTTTGGGTATAGTTGTTCAACCAGTTGCAAATATGCTAGATCATGGTGCTGTGAAGCCCACACCTGACCATCTTGTCTGGTGCTTTACTGAATTCAAGGTATACTGCATCTATAGCATTCCCTTAGTCTACCATACTAGTCACTGTCATAAAGACAACTATTAGTCTAACTTGACCTTTAAAAAAAATGCTGGTTTCTGGTAATGGTAGCATTGATTCCTGAATGTTACAGACATTCTGCTTAATAATCTGATAT